TGACGCCAGTCACTTACGTAGTCAAGACGGAACTAAAGATTCCAAACGATTTCGGACTAGTCATATGGGAGACGTTTATGAGAAAAAGACTGGACGCGACGTATAGTCATGACCAGAAAAACAACTCGTCTTTTTATCCGTCCTTTGCTCGCCTGGGCCCCAAGTGAGCAAAAAGATGGGCTAAATGACTCGTCTTTTTTCTAGTCATGTCGATCTGTCACACCCAGTCTTTGTCTCAAATTCGACCATGACATGACTAGTCCAGAATTTTGGCCGTCATCAAGCCCCGTCTAAATCACATGATTGACGGGTGACATTATATGTGCCAAGTCTAGTCTTTTTTTTTTAGAAAGATTCGTCTAGGACTAGTCTGAAGTCGGTTGATGCAGGATGTTATTGTCTAATATGTCTAATATGAAGACCAGTCCTAGACGAGGACTTTTTGAGACAAAGACTAGTCAGAATGGGACGACCTGACTTCCGTCCGAAAGCGGTTGAAAATTGAAAAAGTAAGGACGTCACGGACAGTACGTGGGACGAATTGTACTCTTGTGTAATGGACGAGTCTAAATATAAATATTATAAGGATGAAGGTTAGATTCGAACAGGCATACAAAATGTTACTTACCAATCGTTTGGACAATTGAACCATATGATCAAGAGATTAACTTCTACATGTTCATAATCATTCTAAAATGCTATGTAATACGCAATTTTACTTAAAATTTTTCAAGCTATCATTTTAATAAAAACTTATCTGTTAGAGAATATAAACTTATTTAGACAATGCTGAACGAAATAAATTTAAATATTTTTAATAATTTTTTCAGAAGAATTTCTTCTGATTATTATCAATTAGAAATAGTTAATTATATTGCAAAAAAAGTTAAATACCAAAAAGATTAAAAATTATTTCAAATGAAAAAACTAAATTTTTTAATATTATAATTTAAATTTAAATTTAAATTTCACATTTCAAACTTAAAGCTACACTAAATTTGTGTCGTTTAAATACATTCTTAAATTTAAATCATCAAAATTTATACTATAAATAAAATAAAATAACGTAAATTTGTGGCACAAAATATTTAAACTATCTTCAAATTAAATTAATTTTAATTTATTTTCCACACTTAATAAATTTTAAACTACATAAATTGGAACTTCTTGCTGCGAGATAAACATTATATTTTGTATTTCTACTATTTTATGCCTCGATATACTTTTAAATTTTTTTTATAAACGAAATTATATAAAATGATGAGTTATATTAAAATATGGATGCACAGAACATTTCCTTCTATCCTTCACTTCAGTAATGGTTCTGGGGAACTTTCTAATCGCCGCCCTAATTAAAAAAGAAATCAATGACGCAGGTGAGAGTCTACATATGTATGAATAAAAATTGAATAATTGCCAGTAATTTGTCGTAATCATAATATGAGAAATCATACTTGACTAACAATCATGAAGCTCTTAATAGAAAATAAGGGTTAGTTCTCGTTTCGTCGAAAATAAAAAATTGAATAAAAATACGCAGAATGTAATTAGCTTATTCACGATCATTTCATTTTCTTTAACAGACTAATTCATAAAAAGAATTCTTGGTGGATCTGTTGAAAATATTTGTTGAGAGCATTATATCAATTATACAGAGCTAATGGATTCACCCCACTAATGTCGAAAGGCAAAGATACTGAAATTTACAAACACCGAGCTGTGAAAATGTTGAGATATTAGTAGTGTTGAGTGTATGAGATAGGCAAGGAGAAAACGGTCACCCACGTCCTCATATATACCGAAGCAATCACACACCCTCACCCTAACCCATATTTTTCTACAATTAAGTTTTTGTTGTTTATAACCACTAACTAAGTATTTTAATCAAGGATTTCGATTTACAAATAAATTTTTCGTGATGGTACTGGATCGTTGGCTGAATGAAGTAACTGTATAGTTTAATTTGTTTCTTTGATGAAACTTGACGAAACGAGAATGTACCAAAATAAGTGGCCAAATGTTTCTCGTTTTCATATCTGATGCATATTGTGAATGTGTCCGATTATTCATCGGTTATTTTGAACCATAATAGAGATCTTGAAAAATTCCTTACCTTGCATTCTACTTCTTTTTCTGTTCATCATGGAGCAGTTTCAACGAAGTAGCAGCACAGTTTAGCCCAAACAAAATAAATTACCTGAGATTTTTAGACTAGTGTGGACAAGAATTGACACGACATGCTCAAAAAAATGGACTAGTCTTGATTTGCATAGATGCCACATTAGACTAGTCCTGACCACCATTGAAGACATTTCACACTAGTCAAGTTGCTCGTCTTCGGCGCGTCTCAATTCGTCTAGTAGATAGACGCGCGTCAGTCTGCTAGCCAGAACGTTTAAACTCACGTCATGTCTATCGCTATGTCATGGTCTGTCGTCAGGACACCCATCAGATATTGAATACTGTCGGATCAAAGGTTCAAATCCACTTTTCGTCTTCTTTTTTTGATTATTTTTCTGTTCTACAGACTAGTCTGGACGGGGTAGATGGACGAAACAGGCTAGACATGACGGGATTCAAAGACTTTCTGGACTAGTTCAGACGTGCTTAAAGGACATTTCTCCTAAAGATGACTAGTCATGACGAAGGTGTAAGACATTTTAGACTAGACAAGACGGGTATTACGGATATTTCAGACTAGTCTTGTCAGCCGTTTTCACTTATTTTTCGCTCACTTGGGCACATAATTCTTTTTCTCAGTTGGTGATATAATGAATCTTTTCAAGAACTTGTTGGAGCTCGAATGTTCAAATTATAGAAGTTAATTTATCGAAGTTAACCCTTCGAACTGTGACAGTTCAGTGTACACTGCAAAAATAGCGTAGAATAATAGACCGCATGAAAACGATTTATTAACTGGATCAACCATTCATCAAACTTTCATAAACTCCTTTAGACTTTTATGTCGGTTTTATAAACTCTTGTATAACCATGAGGGTAATAAACTCTTGAATAATTTATGAGGCTGATAAACCATTTTTGGTAGAGTTTATTATTCTGGGCATTTTTTTAACAGTGTAGCTCAAACCTGATGAAATCTACTATTTCGACTTTAAATATTTTTGATAACGGCAGCATATTAGACAGTATGTTCATTTACGTACTTATCAATTAAAAATGACAATATTTATGTAACTAATACTTCCGTTTTTACATGCATAATTTATTTTACATTGTGTCTCGATCACAGTGTGTCAAACAAAAGTTTCTTTTTTTCTTCTCGATAAATTATTCGCAATGTGCGTCATATAGTTTTGTTTTCTATTTGATCCGATCGATTGGGGGGAAAAAAAGAAAAACTAATCCGAAGAAATGAGTCATTCCACATAAAACAAAGTTTCGTCGTCAGTTAAAAACATGTAAACATATGGTTAAAAGAAAGTTTTGTTCTCCATCTTTTTAATGCCCAATGGAAGAAACATCAGATGAAAAACAACTTGCAAGTCAATTTTATTTTGCTTGCCGTAATGCTGATTTTGATTTAGCCATTCATCTATTAAATCAACATCGATTAGAAGATATTGATCGAATGGAACCAAATGGAAGTACTGCCTTACATGCTGCTTGTTATTATGAACATTTTAATATTGTTAAAATATTACTTGATCGAGGTTTTACTCGACGTGTTATAAATAAATTTGATAAAACACCTATTGATGAAGCTTATACAGAAGAACTCCGACATTTATTTTTAAGACCTAAATCATCAAATCGATTTGGAGGTGACACACCATATGAACGAGAAACATCCATATGGATTCCAGTAGATGGAAATGAAAAAATTATTATTCAAGATCCTATAACTGATTTATATAAAGGAAATCGTTTAGAATATGGAATATTTCAAGCTGATAATATAATTAAACAATTGGATGGTATGCCTAAACTTGATGTTATTCAACGTTTTTTTCGTCGAGCTGTTCAAGAAAAAGATTGCACTCGTTTAATTCAAGCTTATACCGCTGAAACAGATTTTTATAATCATGTAAATAATTATCTTTTATCAAGACAACAAGAAAATAATCTATCGCAATTTGTACAAACAATTTATTTTAATGATCAGTTACATAAAAAATATTTCTATGAAGGAACATGTTATCGAAGTATTATGATTGATTCAGAAGATCAACTTAATTTATTTAAAAAAGGTGCTAAAATACTTAATCGAACGTTTATTTCAACAACTCGAGATCGTCAGATTGCCGAAGAATATATTCTTGATCGTAATAATGAAAACAAATATATAGTTATGATGATATTCAAACTTCGTCATTGTTACACAGCATTAAATATACAAAATATATCAGAATTTTCACATGAAGAAGAAGTATTAATTATGTGTGACACGATATTTAAAGTTGAAAAAATTACTAGACCAAATAACTTTTATATTGAAATTGAATTACGCTACTCAAAATCAAACCAAAGAAGATAAAAATATATCTTTGTAATATTTTTAAATATGCTGAAAATAATAAATTTATATGCATGACATGAATGACAACTTTTCTTTGATTGATTCGCATATATATTCTCATATATGAACTTATGAAATGAGAAGATGATGGCAAAAACGAAAGATGCAAAACTATGTAACAATCGATCGGATTCTATTAAGAATTTCTCTTTTGATATTTAGCCAAAGCTCAAACTACACAAATTTTCATGTCAAAATAGTGCTTTTAATTCAGTATGATTTGTCCTTTTAGTTAAATTAACTGAAGTTTGATAACCTTATTAAGTGTCGTAGGTTGAGACGTGATGAAAAGTGTTTACCAAAAAAAAGTCAAGGTTATCAAAAATAAGAATATATCTTGCAATAATAAAACAAAAAGATAATACTTCGCACAAAATATCTACATTATTGTGATAAACTATTGTTCAATTTCTTTATATTACATAATAATCAAGCTAATACAACTTGTAATCATTTACTAATAATGTCGATTCATCCTCAAGATGGAAATAATATTCAACAAGTAAGAACTTTAAAAGAAAACCTATTTATTTTATTTTGTATATAAATAATAGTCAACAACAAGAACATCACTTCGACAATTACGAACAATTATAAATTCGAGTGACGATGATCCACCACCTTGTAAATTTGTTTGTCTTCATTATTGATAAAATATTCTTATCTATTGATAAATTTTATTTTTTCTAGATCCTGGTCTTGAAATAACAGCAAATACTCATCGTACGACAGCCTATTTTCTTCCAAAACGTTCATCGAATAATCATGAGCAAAACATTTCAATATCAACTGATGAATATGCATCAGAAAAGTAAGATGTCGGAAATTCGAACTTCAAGTACAATTTTTTTCCTACCATATTTATACATGATTAGATAGAGCTCGTTAAGCTGAACAAGAGCATGCAGGTTTTATATTTTGAGAAAATATTATAACGATGAAAATTCAAAACAAAAATATTATTTGTAAGATTCCTAAAAAACTACTTAAGTTTTGAAAATAACTGAAAATCTCTGTGTTAGTGACATTTGATAATTTCAATAGTATTTTATTTTTATTCTGTATGAAAAACTGAATCTAAAAATACAGTGTAAAGAACGTTTTTAGATTTAGTTTTTCATGTAGAATAAAAACATAATATGATTAAAATTGGCAAACTCAACTAACACAAATTTTCAATCATTTTCAAAATTTAGGTGATTCTTAAGAGATTTTAAAGATAGTATTTTTGTGTTGAATTTGCATTCTTAAAAGTTTTACTGAAAGTATAAAACTCGCATGCTTTTGTTCAGATCAACGAGCTTTATCTAACCATGTATAAATGTCTTAGGATACACTTAAATTTTGAATTTCCTGAACCTTATTAAACATTTCTTCCTATTCTCTTCATTGTTGATCTTCATTTTTATCTCAATAGCCAACATGCTATTCAAGCACGACAATGGAAAATATCAGCTAACCAATATCGTATTTGTTATACTGGTAATTTATCAGATGATTTTCTTCGAATAAAAGTTTCTTTAAAATCACAAGTTACTAATCAAAATCAGTTCAATAGAAATTCTTTTACAGATGTTCATTTAGGTCTTATTTCGATTTTTTAGTTTTCATTTACATTGAATATTTATATTTAGATCAATCTATTCCGTCGACATTCTTCCAATTTAGTAGAAAATCATCCAATATTAAAATTCTTAAAAATTCAAAAATTCGTGCACAAATGCTTCATAATTTTCTTACAAAAATTCGACAAGAACCAGCAATAAAAAGTATAAAAAAGGAAGTTTTTACTAAAATGAAATTTTTCTTTTCATTGCAGTATCAATGGTTCCAGAAGAACCGATTACTCAGAGTGATGGCTATTCGTATGGAAAAGATAATTTATTTACTAATCAAAAACGAATCCAACTTCCAGTTGCACCATTCGTTACTAAATATGATTCATTACAATTAGAAAGTAACAAAAAGTTCATAATTCAACTAATATATGGATGAGAGGAAGTAAGAATGAAATAAAAATAAATTCAATGGAGAAATTCATTCAATAGCTCGGCGATTTTCTAGCCGTAAAACATGTAAACCGTCAAGAAATTGTTATAGAGACCTAATAATAATACTCTTGTATTACTAAAGACATTGCATTTTCTTTTGTATTTATATAGAATATTATCAATTTCGGAACAATAACGTTTAACAAAGATACGGAAGATGATCATGATTCATTGAACGACTAGGGCTGAATTCGATTTATATTTTTATTGGAATTATTATTTCATGTTTGTTTAATGGTTTTGTTTAGAATAATTTTAAGTTGTCCTTTTCAATTACTGATTTTTTTCCGCTATAATTTAATATTATATTTCTCATTTCGCCTTGTTTAATAAAATAAACAAATTCAAAATAAGCAAATATATTTCATTAACTGAATTTTTCTATAAGACGGTGAGTTTGATTTTGTTCAATTATAGCAAATAAAAATCTGTACTTCTCTTAAATTTGAATATGCCTCTAACGATTAACTGAATAAACTACTGAACAGATCTATTTGAACTATTAATATGTAATGTTATTGAAATATTTATGAACAAAGGTAAATATTTGCAATCGTGCATAGAAAGTACGGTAAATGCTTTCCTTTAGGCCTCGTATCATCGTAATTATGAAATTTCAATATCACACATTTAATATATGAGACATGAAGAAATCAAAGAGATTTACATTATTCATCTATAAATAATTCAACTTTTGAATATCGAGGGAGGTTTTAAAAATATTTTATTTAAGATAGTACACTTATAATAATCATGAGTTGCTTGTTGTTCGTTTTGTGTATTTGCTGCATATATATTACAACCTAATGAATATTATTATGTAAAGAAAACATATTAATAGAAGAGAAAAGTGCACATAAGAATATGATGGCGGAACAAGTGAAACAATAATGCATAAGGATGCTGTGAGCTTATTAAACTTGGAAGACAGCTTTACTTTTTTTTCAAAAAAATTAGTGTTAAATTCTTTTCTATCTTCTTCTAACCTATGTGCATTTTCTTTCTCAAAGACATGACGTCTGATCAGACAATATACGGTATTGTACTTGTGAATAAGATTTTATCTAATAGTTTCATGAACTTCTATCAGAGATGCACAGCGCGCCCAGGAAACAAGGTGGGGACATAACCACCAGAAAGTTTTCTTAATGAACGATGCGGTCGCACCTAACGATAACTGGAGAAATTGTTTTCTCATATTTGTGCCACTTTAATATTTGTGAAGAAGCAGTATTTTATTTTTGAACATTCGTGTATGAACAACAATATAAAGTTGACAGCATCACCAAAGAACAGTTAATTAAGCAAGGTTTAACTATCAGACATAGATATATACTTATTGATTTCTTGTTTCAATCTTAACCTATTTTGCAAGTAAACTTGCACAAGTTTAGTTTTCAAGCGAATTTGCATATTATGCCTGTCAAAGTGAAACTCGCTAAGCATTGAGTTGTGTTGATTTGATATCAGAAAAATTTTTGTTAATGTTGCTGACGATTTACTCTATAAATTTAGCAAATATCTATCAAAATGAAATGATAAAGCAAACGGTATCTCGTGGAGAACGAGTCTCTCAACACTTACATCGCTTAAGTTGCAGCATTCGATGTACACCCTTTTTTAAAGAAATGTCCTAGCAATAAAGTTCAACTGCTGATATGATAAAGATGCATTTCGTGCACATCTCTGACTCTTATCAATCACCACTCAAACTATCCAATTCTACTTCATGAATAATAAATATGTGTTTTTCTTTTGATTTAATGCATTAGTATGAATGTCTAATGCTGGTGAGTGTCGGAGTATTCTTTATATAAACAATAATACTATTTAAATATGCTTGGAAATTTCGCCAAAGTGCACCGAAAACGACAGAAGAGAAAAGAAGTTTGTTAAATATCATCGTACTTTAGCGTAAATATCAGATATTACTTTGCAACTTTAACCAGCATGGAACAAATTTGTTTCATTGTAATATCGAAAAAGTGTTTTTGGAAATTTTTCGTACAATTCTTCTTTTTATGAAAATGTGAAGTTTTTGTTTCTAATTTTTTTTTTTGAGACAAAAAGAAGGATCTTAATATTATTCGATGATCATCAATACGATCTAGTATTTAACGGAAATAAGATGGTTGGATCTGATATCATAGAAACAAGATTATGTCGAATTGACTCATCAAGCCTTCTCTACTCATGTATTCTAGAACTTTCACTACTGTAATGATCTTCTAATCGAGCAAAATAATTATGGACCTCAATAGTAAAGACATGAGTTTTGTGAATGATCAATTGTGTCATTATCCATGAAATGATAACAAAAAAGAATCGAAGTATATATTAGTGATGATTATCGTCTCTCTTACAAGTATTTAATGAAAAAATAATTTGTAAATTGAGGATCATTATATATAATGAACCTTTCTAAATTAACATACATGTATTTATGAAATTTAATATATAGATACGACAGATTGAATATTGCAAAATAATTCACTGCTAATATCTGTCGGCTCTTCAAAACGTACTGCACTATTTAGAAGTATTCTTGTCATTTTGTTTAGGCTTTGTTGTTAATTTCTGTTTTTTTTAAGAATATAAATGTTAACATAATATTAGTATGAGAATAACATTGGAATAGTTATCTATTTAAATAAAGAACACATGGTGACAAATTAATTTAGTTGAAAAGAAAATTCTTAGATAATTAGATATTTATATATAGGTTTTACTAATTGTCGATGATGATCTCCGCTCATGCTTGATTTATCTAATAGTATCCGGGACTTTCCGTCATTATGGTATCATGCAAAATGTTTTCTTCATTCATTTGTTCATCATTTTGTAATAGTTTCTTAGTTAACATTGGTAGAAAAAATCAAACTATCATCATTCCCTTGTGTATAGCTACTTATTAAAACTGATGCATAAGTATTCGTTTTCTAATATTGACTGTCATCAGTAGTGTATTAAATATATAAATATAAGGTGCCAGAAATTAAAAATTTGAGCAAATTTTTGTTTTCAATTTATCTAGTATCATTAGATAGAGCACATCGAGTCACGTATGAAAAGTTACTTTTCTGGTGTTTGAAAACAAATTTTTTCTGGAAATATTGAAAAAAAAAACTAAATTCTAAATATCAGGATCAGAGTCGCCTATTATCACAGATATGTACTTTTTTTTCACTTTATAGGTGATTATAAGAGTTATTTCTTCATTCTTCAGACAAAATTGACCAAGGAAAAAAATGTAATATATATTACATTTTTTTTCTTGGTCAATTTTGTCTGAAGAATGAAGAAATAACTCTTATAATCACCTATAAAGTGAAAGAAAAGTACATATCTGTGATAATAGGCGACTCTGATCCTCATATTTAGAGTTTAGTTTTTTTTTCAATATTCCCAGGAAAAATTTGTTTCTAAATACCAGAAAAGTAGCTTTTCATACATGACTCGATGTGCTCTATCCATCGATACTAAATAAATTGAAAACAAAAATTTATTAAAACTTTTAATTTTTAACCGCTTATATTAACTCAAAAATTATTTCAAGACAATTCATGTAGTTTTCATTTTCTTTTTATAACCAAAACCAATATTTTTAGTTTATAATTTTGTCTGTTCACATAATTAATTTCAAGTAATGATCATGACTCAACCGTGGGGATTACAATTTCTTGTAAATGTCCACTATACTGCACCGCATGCATATCATTATTTTCAAGTGTTTTTGTTTTTGAGTTTCTGTTCGTTTTGATCGAGAGATTTCATCATATATCAAAACTGTATATTAAGATATTTTATTATTATTCATTAGTATCAAATAAATTTTCAATAAATTGTTTTTATCCTAATCAAATATATTACGTACCTAACAATATTTTATTTCCTATTCTTTTTTTCTTTAACTCGTCTCATTGTTATGCTAAGTTTTGATTATAGAATAATAAAAAATATGAAACAAATGCATCAATAACTTTGTTCAAGAAGACAGCAAAATAAATGACAACATTGTTTAAGAAAGAAAACAAAATCAGAATATGAATACAATGCTTGAAATACAAGTTATATTCTTGTTACATAGTTTACTACTTATATCAGAAGCATATACAATATTAACACCCACTGCCAATGGAAAAAAAAACCATTAGAATTAATCCAGGAATTTTTTTTCTTTTTAGTTTCTATTAATCGTTTTTCGGTTTTGTGTACTTATATTAACTGAGAGAATCCATCGTCTAGAAATTAAACAATCATCGTCAAATACTTATCGATAAAAGTCCATTAGGATTAGTAATATTGTTATAAGTTCGATAAAGTCCGTCTTTAATAGCATATTGTTGTAATTGAAACGATTTTTAAAATTATGAAGAATTACATTGAGGAATCTTTTTCGTCAATTTGATTCTCTGTGATTTTGGTTTTATTAGAATATAGTAATAAAAGTCTTTTTTTTGTTCTTATTCTGTACTACTCAATCAATGAGCGTGTCATCAATTTGACATATCTTCGTTTGAGTTAACAGACAACTGAATTCAATCTATAAAAATGAATTAAAATTTTATCTGTATTTTGTGTTCTATATATTGTTCGACTGTTTTGTTTTCCTTTTATATATTCTCATCGATCATCTTACTCATAGAATGGTCTTTTATGTCTGAGGAACAATAAAGTACTTATAGTTTGCATTAATGTTTTTATTCATTTCCTGCCGAAATGCACATCATCATAGAAACAGCAATACATGTAGAGTTCTTTTTTCTTCTATGCTTTCAAATGATAATTGCAGGTGTTCATGGGTCGTTTTAAAAGAAACTAGATCCTATTTTTTTAAAACACTAATTGATCCATTCGGAGACAACAATATATTCAACACGATCGATAAATATAACGAAACTGAATGACGTAAATGAATCTGAGATATAAGTAATAGTTGACTGT